CCGTTTTCTACATTAAAATCACTCCATCGTGCTGTCGTGTCCGAGAGGTTTGCACTGTTGTGAATTTATTTTTTATGACCGTTTTTAATTTAGACTTTTTTTGGGCCCCGGTCCTGCCCCCGGTCTCAGTGCTCTAGATCTTTTGCTGTGCAAAAGAAAACTCTACTCGTGGCTGTTCACCTGTACATAGGGAAATGTATGCAAATACATTTGGTTATTTTTAAGAACACCACCATCGCGATCTCGTCTGTTTGCACATTCGTGATGAAAATAAAGATGACAGTAATTTAAAATAAGTGGGGTGGCTGCGGCCGTGTGACCTTATTTATGTGCGTTGCTGGAAGGAGCTGGCTGGGCAGAGCGACGTGTCCTGCACGGGGTGGGGATGTCACAGTGCGGAAACTCACCGGGACAACGCTTAAGGTCAGCTCTGAGACACACGGCTGAGATTGCCTCTAACGATAGGGACGGCAACGTGCACGAGGCCTCGTGTCTGCTGCTCCCTGTCGCCGGGTCACAGCTCTTGTGCCATTGCTCTTGCTGTTAACACCACTGAGGCTCGCACTCAACCCTGAGGCTGCCTGCACCTGCGCCATCCCCATTGCACTGTTTGCAGCCGGGCAGTGCCACAAATGGCAGCGCCGGACCCTTGCTGCTCACACCTGAGAATTTCATAAGCTGCCCAGGGTAAGCAGTGCAATAGATTGACCACGGAGCCACCAGGGTATTTTTAGCTGTAAATCTGTTTGCAAGCAGCAGCTCCCAGAGCAGTAGAGATGTTCTGGTTTCATCCCCAAGTGGAGGTATCAATTAAGAGATAATTAATGTGGCACTTGTGACATCTACGCGTTTTCCCCTGTGCTGCAATCGGGCAAGCTGCAGGAATGTTGCCCAGGAGCCCAACCACTGGAGCCAGTGTGAGTGCCTTGTGCAAGTTGTAAATATCTCATTAAAACATTGCAGAGCTGCCACCGCGCCAGCGAGCAGCTGCGGAACTGCCTCGGTGTGAGGAGGGCAGTGCAGTGCAGTGCAGTGGTCCGCAGGGAGGAGATCACGGGAATTCGAGGCAAAGAGGGTGAAAGTGGCAGGGAAAATGCTGTCGTGCTGCCCCCGAACTGAGCTGCAGGCAGCCCTTCCTCTGGGGACCTCGTGCACCCCTGCCTGTCCCAGCTCCCCCAGAGTACAGGTCGTGTCCCAGCTGCAGCAGTGCAGTCCAGAGCCCTGCAGGCTGCTCTGAGAACACCGCGGTGTTTGCTTTTGCGTCCTGTGTGTGTGCTTAAGGGCAGTTAATGGCATTAGCTCATTCAATGCCTTTCCCCTCTCCAGAACAGCTTCTGTGCTGGCAAATGTGAGGAAACGTTCATGCAGCACACTGCGCTGAGAGCAGAACTCCCTGAGCGACCACAGCCAGGGCTGGAGCATTCCTCCCTGGAGCCATTAGCAGCCCGTGGACAGCCTCATGGGAGGAAGAGGCCAGTACAACTCACGAGCTGCAAATGCGGAGTGCAAACCCCTATGTCATATTTTCACACTGGAATCACTGAGAAAACGCAGACAGCTTTCTGCAGAGCTGGTGTGTGAAGTTCTTCGTGTGTGCTGTGCCCTGCCCTGAGCAGCATGCATGGACTGGCACTGCAGCACAAATGTACATGGGCAGGGAAAGAGCCTTGTGCATTCTGCACAGCAAGGCTGGGGGAGCATCTCCCCTGATAAGGAGGGAGCCCAGCCCAACCCTGCAGCTGCCTGCTTTCCTCTGCTCTTAGCACACACTTCTCCAAACCTTCCTCATTCCTAACTGGAGAAAATATTACTTACAACCAAAAAAATAAAAAAAAAAAACAAACCAAACCAAACAACCAAAAAAAAACCAAAAAAATGGCTGAGCTGTGTGCCGTTGCCTAAATCTTGGCCATCACACCAACTTACCAAAGCACAGGGCCAGAATGCTGCGAGATTGCACCCCCCCCACACATACAATCTGCTAGCAGGGGGGATGTGTGGGACGGGAATGTGAGGGCAGTTCAATCCAAGGTGACGTGGGGCTTGCTGTCAGTGGGTTCACAGCAGGAGGAAAGGGGCTGCAGCTCAGGTCATGCTCCATAAGGCAGGGGAGCTGCGGGGTGTGCGAGTGTTGCTACAAGCCAGCATGAAATCTGAGTTATGCATGCACAAAAACATGACATCTCCTCTGCCGGTGGGAGCTCTGCCCAGCAGGCGGACATGAAAACACCAGGAAAAGGGTTACGTAAGGAAGGACACGGCCCCATCCTGCCTTCAGCGCAGAGCTCCTGCAGATGCTGCAGCTGCCCAGCACCTCCAGGATCCAGCCCCAGCCATGAGCTGTGCTGTCCTTTGTGCCAAGGACAGGAGAAAAGCTTCAGGATGTTTTGTCCTGGCCTTGGCGAGGCAAAGCCCAGCAACCTCTGCATGGGTTTGGGCACAGGGAAGTCTCACAGGGCCAGGACCCACCAGGCAGGAGCTGGGTGAGGTCTGGTGTGGCATTGCTCCGGGAAACCGAGGGGCAGAGGCTGAGTGCTGTGAGCATCTCTCACGGTGCTGCCTTCGGCTCCATCCCATGGGCTCCGGTCACAGTAGTGGCACATTTTGGTGCCTCCTTATGTCTATCCCCGTGTCTCAGCGTGTCCCCAGCTCAGGATGTGAGCTCTGCCCTGGGGAGCTGCCCCCAGCAAAGCACTGTGCCGCTCCTCCCGTGCTGTTCCAAAGCGGGACTGTGACAGCCTGCCTCCTGCAGCCACCTCTGCACAGAGGGGGACACGCTGCACGTCACGTCCACCTCCGGAAAGCCCCCGTCCCAGGGGGTTGGGAATCGTGGCTCTTCCCGCAGAGCTGCTGGGATGCATGAGCCAGCGGAGCGGTGACACTGATTGCAGCTGACAGTGCTTCTGGGGGGAGCAGTGGTGCCAAAGCTGCTGCTGCTCAGGGACGGCGAGCATCCACACTGTGCAGAGCTGGGCTGCAGACACACGTGCTGAGCTCTGTGCGCTGGTCCCAGCATGGAGGCAGCTCCCTGCACAGGGCTGCAAGGGGTCCTGTGAGCAGCAAATGGTTAAGGGAATTAGGATGGAAAGTTGATAAGAATAGTTCAGTAGCTCCTGTAGGAAGATTGCGATTTAGCTTAATTATCATCATTACATTTTCAGTCTCTTTGCTAATAATTACAAGACAATAGAGCATGATGTGAACACAGCTGCCTGCTCTCCCTCTCACCCTGAGGACAGCTGGCAATGAGGGGATGTAGGGCTGAGGGATGCTTTCCTCTTCTGCAGCCCCAGCTCCCACCTGGGGTCCCAGGGCAGCCCCCAGGCAGGTACCATAGCCAGGAGGCAACATGAGCAAGGGGGGATGTGCTGCGTTCCCATTGTGCACAGACCCCAGAGAGCAGCCAGAGCCGTGGGAAGCTCTTCCCCAACACACCATCTGCCTTTGGCTGGTCACAGTGTGACTCTACTGGAGGGACCTCTGTCCTCTTCACCCTGACTCAGCTTCAGTAGCACAACATGGCCCTGCCCTGTGCCCCCCCAGCACCCACATGAATCCAGCTCTGGTCCGTGTAGGTCTGGGGCAGCGCCATGAGCTCAGTGGATGCTGTCACTCACTCTTCCTCATGGCACCTCTGTGTGCAGAAAGCTATTTCAGGACCCAACACAATGCTCCCTGATGTCAGCTCCAATTAGCTCTATCCCATAAGGGCGAAGTCCCCTGACACCTGGCTCCTGTGGGGCAATGACATTACAACATCCCAAGTGCTCACATGGGTTCCCCAGACAAAGCATGAGCATCATCCTGGCACGCTTCCCAGCTGCTCTCCCCACAGCCACAACAGTGAGAGATGGAGAATTTGAGGCATTTAATCTTTGCATTGTCCTCCCCCACAATGGCATTCTCCTCCTCCAAATAACCACAAGCTGAAGACACAACAACACGTTGCTTCCCCCCAAATAGCTCCAACGAAACAAACGGAGGAAGTGCGGAGGGGTTGGAGCAGAGCCTGCTGCTGGTTGCAGGACATAGAGGGGACCTTGCTGGGAACCCACAGCCCCTCCAGGCACCGGTGGGAGCCCTAGGACAGGAGAGGTGCTGGGAGGTGCTCATAGACCCCATGGAAGCCCGGTGAGCAGCAGCCTGCATGGCAGTGCTTTCTCTCCCTGAGGAAAACTGCCTGCTAAAAGCAGAGGCAGGGAAATCGCTCGACAGAATCATTTAGTAATTGTTAAAAAGAAGAACTTGTTTTCTTCATCTTGCAACCCACCATTGCACAATGCAGCTTGCACTGTCTGCGTGTTTGCAAGTAGAAGGCTTTGGGGAAATTTAAAATTCGGCCTTAAGAGGGGGAATAGTTCTGCAGCCACTACAGACCATGTGCTGCCCAGAAGGGGCTGGGACTGATGTGCAGGTGCAAGGCAACGTGGCAGCAGGGGAAGATATGTGGAGCAAGGGTGGCATTTAGGAGCTCATTTTTGCTGTGTTGCCATAAGAACAGTTACGACTCGGAGCTGTTTAACACACAGCCACCCTTCAGCATGGCACGGAAGGGAGCACAGGTCATGGGGCTGGCTGTGC